CCATCCTCACTGTTCTCAAAGCTGGCTTCCTCGGCTCCGGTCGCTTCGGCAGCGGCCTCGTCGTTGCTCGCCTACCCAATGGCAGCTGGAGCGCACCCAGCGCCATTGCCACGGTCGGCGGCGGCTTTGGCGGCCAGATCGGCTTTGAGCTGACCGACTTTGTCTTCATCCTCAACGACGCCAATGCCGTCAAGACCTTTGCTCAGGCCGGCTCCCTGACCCTTGGCGGCAACGTTTCCCTCGCAGCCGGTCCCGTCGGACGCAATGCCGAGGCTGCCGGTGCTGCCTCGCTGCGCAGCGTCGCCGGCATCTTCTCCTACTCCAAGACAAAGGGTCTCTTTGCCGGTGTCTCTCTCGAGGGCTCTGGTATCATCGAGCGCCGCGACGCCAACGAGAAGCTCTACGGCACCCGCTACACTGCCCAGCAGATCTTGTCTGGTGGCGTTGCGCCGCCGCCCCAGTCCCAGGCTCTCATGACCATTCTCAACGGCCGCGCCTTTTCCGGCCTCGGTCGCAGCGGCTCCGTCGCCGGCAACGACCCCATGTACAATGACTCGCCGGTCTACGACAACAATCACGACGACGTTGTCTGGAACGGCCGTCGCGGTGATGCCATGGGCGAGGGCATCTCGCGCCGCGAAAGCCAATATGGCGACAGCCAGCGCGACGACGGCTTTGGCGGGCCCAAGCGCAGCAGCACTTGGCAGGACGATGTCTATGATCGTCCCTCGGGCGGAGGCGGTGGCAGCTTCGGAGGCGTATCGCGGTCCAACACATTCGCATCCCGTCGCGACGAGGATGACGGCGTCTTTAGCAACAGCAGAACAAACAGCGGCTTCGGCGAGTCCAGGACCGGCCCCGGCCGGCCGACGGCGGCGAAACCCAATTTTGCGCCCAAGCCGGCGCAGCTGCGACAGAAAGAGGCCGTGGCCGTCTTCACCTTTGACGCGGACCAGCCGGGCGACCTCGGCTTCAAGAAGGGCGAGGTCATTACTGTGACGAAGAAGACTGACAGCGCAAATGATTGGTGGTACGTTTTTGTCTGTAGCTGACCTGATCGTGGTGTGAACATGCTGACACAAAAGCAGGACTGGTCAGATCGGCGGCAGGACCGGCATCTTTCCCAGCAACTACGTCAAGATGAAGGAGTAGAGCCATGAAGCCAAGAAAGAAATTGTACAGACTGACACAAAGGGCGTGGAAAATTGGACGGCTGCTACAACATACATGTTTGAGTGACATACGAGGGCAAATCCACGAAATCTAGCAAAGGAGGGGAGACATCAGAGGGCGACTCGAGAGGGAGGTGGAGCGGATGAACGGCCTTTTTGCCCTTTTCTTTCTACTTGTTTCTTCATTTCTTCCACTCATGATGCTCGCAGGGGACCAATGATACCCTCTTTACTTCCTTTCCTTGGATCCGCGGTCCTGTCGCTGCTTGATTTACGGGTTTGGAATTCCCTGTTCGCTGGCGCGGTATGGCGTTGCTGGTGGGGTCTTTTTGGTGCTGTTGTGTTGGACATATCACAAATCCGCTTTAGATTATGGTCATTTTGATTTCTGTTGGGAACGGGAATCGCTTTCATGTTGTGTGCTCCAGCACCCCACAGACACGGCATGGTAGCTCTTGATCAACAGTGAATATCCCGCTCTGTATTCCGCCTGGACTTTGCGACACGTAGTGAATCTACCGAGTGCTCCTCCCCTGTGATGCTTCATTCTCACGCATATCTAATAACCGTCGCATCCAATCTTATATCCGTCCCCTGCCAACACCTCTCCCAACATAGTCATATCATATGAAGATTAAGAGAGAAAGAAGCACTCAATGAAACAACGGCAGGCGCGGCTTTAATCAAGCTCCGTCGGCGCCCAGATGACTTTGCCAGCCTCCTCGTCTTCGTGGAACCAACCCTGCTTCTCTCGGCTCCAGGTCCAGAACTTGTGCGCTGGGTCGTTGACAAAGTCAACATGGCTAGGGATCTGCTCCTCCGGCACAGCCGGGATATAGACTGCCGGTTTGCGTCGCTGCCGTGGGGCCGTATCCGGCGTCATGGCAAGATGAAACGGAACCACATGGCCCGGCCGTGCGGCGGACTCGGCACACGCGCGGCGACGCCGACCAGGAGCGGAGCCCTGCTGAGGACGGTGCGACTGCTCACTCGTGGCCTGCGTGGATGCCGAGCTTGCAAACTCGGTCCCAGACAGGTTTGTAGTCTGGTTCGTGGCACCTGATGTCGGTGCATGGCTTGGGTTGCGGATTTGCCGTAGTCTGCTGCTTCGACGTGGGTGGGTGGTGGGGCCCGGTTGTTCTTCTTTGGCTGGTGCGCGGGCTTCCTGGGCCATAGTCGCTGTCCTTGAGCCACGTTGACTCGAGTAAGCTTGGGTCCAGCAAATGTGTTTGTTATCGCGGCTGCTGAAGGGACAAACTGCTCAGGAAATGGTAGTATGATCTCGCTAGCCTGTAGACTCCCAGAAAATGAGGTACAATGTGCGACTGTTTTTTTTGGGGGCATATTATGAAGCCCCGAGCCAGGATACGACTTCACCTCAGACTCAATATCCTGCCTTTATAACCGTTGCGACGATTTGATCACTATGCTCAAATGTACCGATATGGCAGTCGAGCAAAGGAAATGGCAGGGCTTTCGATTACCCCCTTCATGATTGCGCATTCGCCCGGTCTAGCAATTCCCTCGCCCGGAATGCCAGCGCCTATGCCTACCCCATCCTATCAGACAATCTGACTCACAGAAGCCGATGTCTTGGATTTAAGAAGCCTAAGACGCCCTGACTTGATGCCGCAAGCCCTGCAGCCTCATTATGACGCAAAGCTATGAATAGACGAGACGACACTGCCAACGCCACGCATCCTCCTCCACACGACATTTGAGTCCATTTTTATCAACAATCATTGTCGGAGGACAGACTGTCACCGTGATGGTGGTTGTCATCAGGAGCCAAGACTGATATCCTGGTCGAAGGTAAGGCACGAGTGCAGCAACCAGATCCAGGTGAGGTCCGACGGCAAGGCTCTGGTGAGGTAGCCGACGGCCACTTGATTCAATATCGCCTCACTCAAGGGTCCCCCGGCTTAACTATTGGTCTCGGTATAGCAACCGATGACGCCCTGAAATATCAACGCAGGTTGCTGACAGGTATTCATCGGAAATGGAAAAATATCAACGCAGCCCGCCATCCCGAAATTCCAATGCGACAACATGCACAGAGTCTTCGTGCCTTCGATTCTTGTTACAGCCGTAATCAATCCGCGTGCGTGATCAGAGCAGTTCTGCTTTAGGAGCGCCACAGTCTTCGAAAAGGCAGGATAATTTTGCAATTGCATTACAACTTTCTTTACAATATTAAATGGTTGTCAACATGGAAATGTAAATTCGGGTGGGTAAAGCAAGTTGTTTCGACCGGTGTCCGTCGGTAGGCAAATGATGCCTAACCCACTGACCTCCACTGATGTAGGCAATAACCCAAATGTGTCTTGTGATTGATACTTTTGGGCACGCGTCTCCCTGAGCGGTTTGGTATGTGTTACACACCATGGCCCAAGAATAAATTGAGAGCCGCATTACCTTAATCCGCGATGCTTTCCTTAAGAAACTATCTTCAGCTCAAACTACTTCTGATTCAGGCTCGCCTTCCACGGACAAGTTTGCACTGATGTATGGGCCCTTAAGAACATCACCCCTTTGAAATCTTCAATCAGAACGTATATCGACACCAAAGCTGTTCGTAAGCTCGTAATCCTCATTGAAACAGCTCACAAACCCAGAAAATTCTTTAAACGGAATAAAATCTCTCGAAACCAGTGGGAATACCATACCCCCACGACATCGACTACGAGTTATTCTATCTGCCAATCGGCAACCTGCCCTTCCGGTCCGACTATTCAACTTCGTGCCCCCGTTTATCCCACACAGGTCCCAGGTCAGGGTTGTTGGTCGGTCGTCGATTCATCTTGGTTGTCCTTGGAACCAGAAATACATCAGAAACGGTGCGACAGACTCTGGTTGTTCTTTGGCTCTGTTCTTTTCCATCCTGCGATGCCTTTCGGAGCCACGCGAGGCGTCGGGTCAACACCTTGAAGTGCTGCCATGGCGAACGTCAACCAGGGCCACAGTGATTGCTTCCGCGATCCTGATAACTGCATCCTATGGACTACATCTGGAGTGGCCCTTGGTATGCAAATGCAAGACATTATCAGTGGGCCGATGGTCACGGGTTGTTCAAATGGAGAACAAGATTCGTTCGATATTGCGTTGATCACATCACGGACCCTTGGAATGGACATAGAGGATATGGCCAGTGGAGCACCTCCGTCGCAACTTGAGTTTGAAACCCAGGATACTACCCAAGGAAAAGCCGCTGCTGAGGAATGATCATATCCGTTGGAAGTTGAGATGAAAGTCGGCCAATTTTCCGAACCTTTCGAGATAGAAATGGAGGACAAGTACGGGATATTCCATCTCGTGGGCGCAGTTCACACCACATCACCATACACTGCCATAGCAGGGGACCTGACCCGGCTGTACGATATCAACAGCCTTGAGCTGCCGCCGTCTATGGAAGGGAGGGGATATATGACCGGGTTCGGGTTCCTGTCCGCTCAGCGGTACTTCTCGACCACGGTCCGCATACTTCACTACGGGATCCCTGAAACAAATATCAAAGCTATTGCTATGACAGAAGTCCGTTCCGCTTGGTTTTCGCAAAGGCAAATTTACATGGTCATTGGCAGCTCTCTCCGGAAAATGCTGCTCGAAGCCCGCGATGCTGTACCCAGGCCATCTCTGCCTCCCTGCAACAAGCCGAGTCGGCTCATCGCCTCATCTCCACACGCCCTCGCGTTGTTAGGGAGTCCGCTGCTGGCTCTGACTCCCGTGTCTCACAAAGGGCACCTCGACGCCCTGCTCGTGTCGCCACAGGTGTTTCATCTGGTTCGAGGACAGGGCCTCAAAGGACTAGACCCGGACGTCGTTCGCGTAAGCAGCGTTCTTGTGCCGAGGTTATTTGTATTTTTCTAATGACATAAGATTATAGGCTACCGACACGAAAGGACACAAAGGAGCACAGATTCCAACTTTGAGCAAGTTGGCAGAGGCTCTATGCACCGTGCTGTCTTGCACACGAATTATTCAACATCTACCCAGTTCACTCCTACCTTGCCGCAACAGCATGGCTCCCAACCATCAGCGTCGCTATCTCGAGCAATATTGCAGTCACCTCCTCCTCTAATTCTTTCATCCGACACCAGCAGTATGTCGGACCAGTTCCCAGCTATCCTAGACGCTGGGGCTATCATAGCACAACCACCAACCATCGAGGACTCCATCATTCTCAACAGAGTAGCCTCCGATGCTCACGATCTTCATGAAGATCAGGAATGATGTTCCATTTCGATGGGATAGTATCAGTTATGAGTGTTCCTTTACCAGAGCGTGGCAATTTGGCAAGATAAACCTTTGTCGCGGGGATCTCAAGGCTTAACATCGGTATTTCTTCTTTGGACAGGGACATCGCCCTCTTTCGCAAATTATCTCTTCCCTAGTGTGTATCTACCTCATGAATAACGTTACATTAACCATTTTCTTGTTATTAAGTTTCAGACTGCGGCTTCATAGTCACAGAAAGACGGCATATATAAAACCTTGAATGAGGAAAAGATAGAATGAATCTCCACGGAA